GACAGAAGATACTACGCGAGGTTCGGGGGAGGTTTTGGGGGGGGCTGGTTTCGTTCGTGTAGTGAGTAGAATACGACGCTGATGCGTTGAGGATGTGACGACAGAAGATACTGCGCGAGGTTCGGGGGAGGTTTTGGGGGGAGTGAGTAGAATACGACGCTGATGCGTTGAGGATGTGACGACAGAAGATACTACGGGAGGTTCGGGGGAGGTTTTGGGGGGAGTGAGTAGAATACGACGCTGATGCGTTGAGGATGCGACGACAGAAGATACTACCTAGACACTCCAATCGTGTCCTTTGCGCAGCGTTTCTGCTAACGACAGCGTATGGTGCATAGTGTTGAAAATGATGCCGTGTGCCCGTCATCCTGCAGCCACAGCTTTGCCTTGACGGCTCAGCTACCAAAGTTGCTGCATCCTGCGACGCATTCTTGTGAATGCTTCCTGCAAAGAATGTTCCACCATGAAGGGTGTCCTACAAGAGTGTCTCACAAGGGTGTCGCGCAAGAGTGTCTCACAAGAGTGCCCTACAAGAAGAGTGTCACACAAGAGTGTCGCAGAGAAAATGAGCATTCATATCGACCTGATACTTGTAAGGTTGAAGTTCGCTGCGCTAGGAAAGTGTTAGGCGCAAAACTATGCTATCGGTGTCGTGTCTTTCCCTTCCAAAGGCTCGTCCGGGAAAAACATTTTAACTCACCATGTTCAAGTTTTTCGCTTGGTTCAAAGTGTTTGGCCACTATGCTGCTTGGAGCCGTTTTGGCTTTTTCCCTTGGGCCTTGCGCCGGGCCTGCGCGCCCAGGACTTAGTTTTAAACGCGCGTGGAGTGCGTTTCAATTTCAAAGCTTTAAAGTTGCGCAACTGACGCAGCAGCTCACCAAACGCAACTTTTCCACTCGCAACCTGCGAGAGCTGATCGCCAAGGCGTGGCTCCAGGAGGTCCTGCCAAGGTGCCACCGCCCACCCTTCATCCCACCTACAAGACACATAGAATACCCTCCAAAAATCTAAGCCTGTGGTGAGAGCGCGCGTTTCTCTTATGCCCGACCTCTATGCTTTTGCAGCCATTTTGATTTTGATTTGGAGTGTTGCGATCGAGCCCTCAGTGTTTTGCGACAATGGCCAATCCCTTGGAGCAGGAAATGCGCCAATGGAAGAGTGTGAGTCACTAGATTTCCGTTTTATGTAACGCGTGCGTTTTTCCCTTTGGCAGTGGCACTGTTTTCTCTAAGAAGTTGTGCGCTCGACAGCAGTCAACATCTAAACATGTGGTAGCTTTTGCTAAGGACCTGGCAAGGTTTCATGGAGTGAGCAGGATGTGGCCAGTCACGCTGCCGAGCTCAAGGCGTCACTCCCAGTGACAATCACAGAGCTGATCAACTCTGATGTTTGGAAGGGGGGGAACCTCGCGCAACTTGACAACGAGATTGTGAGACCAAGCAGCGATGACTGCGTCAACAACTTCATTTGATTAAAGCCGTTCGTGGCCCGCTTCCCAGAAAATGGCTGCTCTGGGTTCTATGCAGCAGACGTGTTTTTGGCTCTGGACAACCTCTTTGAAGGTCGTTTGCTGCAACCCACCGATCCCATGGACACGAAGAGGTCCCTGGCCACGCGCGAGGGAAGTAATATCAAAAAGCTCATGGGCGGTCTCCGCTATTTGTGGAGGAGCAGTAGCCTAGTGGCACTGAAGCGCAGGTGCATGTTTGTTTGCTTGCTTTCGATTCTGTTGGTTTCATGTTTCCTGGCAACCTTTCCATGTCAGGTAAAACGGGCCACCGTCCTCGCGTTACCGAAATGAAGAGTCTTTTGAGGTCATCTCCGAAACCCAAGGTGGGACACATTCAATTCATGTCTGAGCTAAGTTTTTGTTTTTGTTTCCGACGTTACCCATACTGACCTTTGAAAGCCTTGCCTCCAGGATGACAAACCAGGAGCGATTCTGGATTCAGAGATTGATGGAACCAAAGACAACGCCCCTGGTGATGCTCCGTCAGATGACTCCTTGAACGCCCCAACCCTGAGACTGGGGGAAGGAGGGGATGATGGGTTTGTGGACGATGATGATGATGATGATGATGAGGCTATGCCTCCCTTAGTGATACTGAGGGATGCTGATGCTGATGATGATGATGATGATGATGGCGAGTTTCGTGATGAGACTATGGGGGAAGAAGAACCCACACAAATGGTTGAGGGTGAAGAAGTGTCGGAGGAGGAATCTACGGGGGAGGGCGAGCCTCGCTGCGAGGGAGGGTTTCCGCAGGAGTTAGAGTCTGAGGAGTCAGAACCTTCGTGCGAGGCAGATGATGACGCGTCTCGAATCTACCCACGAGACCCGTTTCAGGCTCCAAAGAATGGGTACTTGAGGCCCAGGCAAGATGTGGTTGAGATGTGTCTCGCACTCATGCAGTACTTTCAAAACTTTGATCCAGCGCGCATGAAGACGCTTTGCTCTTGATTTCACCGATTCTATTGCATCGTTTTGTGGTTCGCGTGTTCAGGCCTATGACACTATGACCGACCCCAATGTAGCTATAGTTGCTTCCGACCTGCAACGCCTAGGATGAAGGCCTTCACAGACTACATGAACCACTGCGAATGGGCTTTCACACACTGGGGACCAAGGGCGGCGTCATGGTTATCCACTTCAGACCATTTCCATCATTGGCTTAGCAAGTGCGGCCATGTGGACCCGCCAGGGGCCACTGGATATATGTTTAGCCAAGGAAGCCATAAGAGAAAAGCATTCTTTTTTGTAGGGTGGTTGGATTGGAAAAGGATCCACGAGTGAGGAACATATGTATATATATTCTATATTAATATATGTATATACATACATATGGCTGGTTGCTGTTGCCATGTTTACTGCAGGTTGCGTCTGCCCCTTCACCAAAGCCATTGGAGGAGTCTTCGACAGTGTCCGGAAAGCGAAAGGCTTGTGACCAGGCCCGCCCACCGTCCTGCATCGTGTCATCTATATCTGCGCATCTTGCTGCCCGCCATCTTGAAACCTGAGAGGCTGAAGGCAGCAGTGCCCTCAAGAAGATCATGTCAGAGGCTGGAGACAAGGCCAAGGCGTATGATGGCTCAGACCTTTCAGGCAGCGCCAGTCCACCTTTGACTACTCCTCCGCATTACCCTACTATGGTTAAAGCTTTGGAGGGATATACCCCATCGCCGGTTGGTATGCAGTCAGTGTTTTGGAAGCATTGGAATGTTGAGGAATGTCACCTTGCAGCTTACAAAAGAAGATTTGTCAGTTGCATCACATCCCTTATCGTCTTTCTGCCAAGGCAATTGGCATGAGGAAGGCCAAAGCGGCCGCTGCGGCACCGAAACCGAGTGAAGATGTTGCTCCCAAGGAGACACCAAAGGGTCAACAGGTTTCCAATGTGGTCGCACATCATCTACCACCTCACATTTGGAATGGGTACGACCTTCGAGAGCTTGGCATCCCCTTTGTCGCCTATCCCCAAGACAGACCGAACTTGGCGAAGCATGGATACACCATCATTTCTCCCCACACCGGTGCAGTGCTTCGGTTGTATATGATTTTTTTGCTTGGAAGCAAAAAACGAAATCATGATCTTGCGAAAACTTTTGCACCTGTTCTTAACTACACAGCTGAACCCTGACGCCCACCAAGGCCATAGAAGTTCTGCTGAAGGTGAAAGCTTTCGTGGTGAAACGCACTGGTGAGAAAGCCCCCGAATCATGCTCCTTAGGACAAGTCACCTGGCGCACCAATGGAGGTGTGGGCACTTTGCAAAGCGCAAGGCATTCTGGGGATCACCGGCTCGCTGCAGCTGAAGCATTCTGTTGTGAACGCAGCCTTTTACCATGGGGTTTTCAGATCTATAGAATAGATGTCTCGTGGCCAATGGCTGGGGGTAGGAGCAGGTTTGGCAGCTTTGGGTGATCCCTCCAAAAAAAGCACGCAGCGATTTGTGGTTTTGCATCAGCCCACCATCCCTGCTTCCCCGGCCTGTGATCGCCATGTGTGTCCTTGACCCATAGATGGTTTCTGGAGAACACTGTATCTGCAGTGCGTGCGAAAAGTCGATGGCTGTCTCCCAAACCTACGCAGTTTTGTTTCCCCACTGCAATCTTTAAGGCAAGGGACCAAAACATATCACAGTGCACTCAGTCTCCAGAAGGCTCCAGCCACCAGCCCCAGCGGCGTAGTAGCGTCCTTGGATCGTTGCCCGCACACAGGTGCTTGTGGCTACTTTGGCGCCAGGACGAGGCTTCTCGAAAGCCTCACTGGTTTCAAGTTGGGTTTCCAAAGGGTCCAGCGAAAAGACTTGTTGAAAGTTCAGTCAAAGAAAGCATCGTCGGATTGGCGCGCTTCTATGTTGCGACACGTGTGCGTTGGTACCTACATAGGCCTTCTTTGACAAGCTCTTCGTCTTCAACATCTTTCGGCAAGCAATCCCCTGGTTGGAGGCTGGGTCAGCATTGAAATCCATTGAATGCTTCAACATGGGTTCACAGGTTTACTGTATACCGTTTGCGGCGTTTATCTATGGAGGCCGTCTTT